CTGTTCTCAAAGTTAGATATTAATAAACAAAGTTTGTATTCTTTTGCACCTTTTGTTGCAATTTTTACAATTTCTTTATTTAATTCCACTATTTCTTGATTGAATTGTTTCTTGTCTTCAAATGTGACTCCAACCAAATACGAATTGACTAAAGGAGTTGTATCACTATCATAATTGAAAAGAGGTAGTTAGATTTCTGATTCTTATGACTTAACATATTCAATATGTACTAAAGGATTATCAGTGGCCATCCAATTGTATGAGATTTAATCAAGATGATCTCCTCTAACTCTAATTGTGAAACCTACTTTAATTTTAAGAAATACCTTATTAATTAACATTCAAAATTTCACTCATAAATGAAGAACCACTCATGTCTAATAAGCCAATTGAATATGCAATCTTTGGAATTCTTTAGAATTGTTTTTTGAATTTGATATTAATATCAACATCTTTATTAATGATATTTTGAATTGTAACTCCTGTCTCAGATTCATATAGAAAATGCTCAGCCTAACACAAATAAATCAAACCTAGAATAATAAGCCAATTCATTTCCGTTTTTATTAATAAATATAAATATAACTATATAGTTTTTCATACTATTATATTACATTTAAGTTTCGAAATAACATATTCATTCTATAATTCCTAATCATAAATATATTATATTACTTAATCTAATGTAATATTAAAATTATAAGAGAATTTTTGATCATATATTACAAGATAATATTTAAAAATGTTGTAAACCAAATCCATGATTAATTATTTAGCTTATATGATATATTAATATGTAGTTAGAATTTCTTTAAATTCTAAATTAACCGTACTTTCTCTAATAGTATCATATGTAAATATTCTTAAAACTTTATAATTAAATGTCATAACTCAACAGGAACATAACATCCTAAAATAAAATGAAGGTAGAAATCTATTAAAATAAGACAATTTTATAATAGAATCATTAAAATCTAAGTTCTAAATAATGTAATTTATTTATCATCATTTTAGAAATATTTTGACATTTCTTATAAAAACAAATAAATCGCTAATAAAATTGATTATTTCTTAAAATAATATATTGTTCAAATAACTTTCTTTATTACTTATAAATAGATCAAACGAATATCCTTTAGTACCCCATATGTTAATGTTCTGATTCTATAAGAAATTAAGTTTTTTTTCTCATCATTTTTATAAAAATAGGTATCTTTTCTTTTTATCACAATAAACATAACGTTATCTTGCTATTAAAATAACTTAGATGAATTAAAAACTATAAAATACACTTTTTTAGTGAAAATATTGTTTTTGAATTCAAAGTGATTTCTTTAATGGGAATTGTTATTAAGGTAAATTATAATTTTCTGCAACCTTCATTGATATAGAATTTTTTATTCTAAATTAACTCCTTTTCTAATTACATGAATTCTAACCATAGAATTTTCTTTTATAATAAGACTAGATCTTATGAATGTCCTTTTTAATTTAGAATTTCTAATCGGATAAATTCTGAATTCAAGTTTGGATTAGATTGATTGATTATTCTTAATCAAATAAAGCTATATCACCAAGTTCAAAATAGAAGCTAATTATCATTTTTATCAGAATATTTAATTACAATGAATATCTAAATATTCCATAATTGATAAAGAAAGCATAAAATAATATACTTATTCCTTAGATGTATGTATTTATATATTGATTAAGTATATAACTTATTCTTCATAGTAATTAAGAAAATAATTAATTTGAATAGTAAATTTTAGTATGAATTCAAAAAATCATTCATAAGCTTACTCGCAAGTTTATTCAGAAGAATAAGATGAGTAAGTTCTAAGTTTAACAAATATGGAAATTAAGTGGCTAAATTTATTAAAGCGAATTTCTAGAGATGATTTAGAAGTATTAAGGAGAAAATTTGAAAAATAAAGATAATAATTATTGGATATTAAAAAAAAGGACGAAAATCACAATATAGAATAAATGTGATGGTGTAACAAAATTATTTATCTCATTTTTGTAATTTTATTTATCTTTCAATTCTCAATTCATAAACTTCTTAATGTTTTTTCAGATATTTAATATATAATTAATAGAATCAAAGATCACTTTATAATCAAATTTACGCTTTTGTTTTCAATTTATAATATCATAGATTAATATACAAATATAATATTTGATATTAACTAATTGTAAAATTAAATACTAATTTTATTATTTTGTTTAACTATTTATTTTGAATAATTGTTCATAAGAATAAATATAGTTTAATTATTGAGAAAATTAATTTAAACAAATAAGTATTTATTTTTTAGATAATTTAAGAATGAGAAACAATAAATAATTTACATTATTTCAATCACTTTAAATTAAATATAAAAATATCCAATCTCTTTATATAAAAAATTAAAGACTAAATAGGTATTCTATTAATTATTTTATATTAGAATATAATAAGAGTATAACAAACTAGAAATTTTAAGTTTAACTGTTTGAACTAAGAACTATTGTTCATAATTTATTGTTTTTAATAAATCAATTTCTTTTGCTGATGAATTGAGCGGTGGTTGATAATTTTTCACTGATGTGTTCTTAAAGTCTATCAACGATTTCATTTTAAGCAGCTCTAAAATAGGATATTACTTATATATTACCTTTCAGCAGTTTAAGTTTCATAGATTTCTGATTAGACTGCATACCATGCTTATTATCCAGCAAGTCTTTCTTCACTATTCTCTAATTCTAAGGTGTGGAATTCGATCCATGATTAAGCATCTTCAATTGTATCCTTTTATTCTTAGATTTAGACTTCCAATTAAGCTTTTCTTTCAACCAATCTGGTGTGTTCATTGCTCAAATGAGCGCTGAATTCAGCCCAGTGTGCAGCTTATCTATCTTCAACGTCCTATTTATTTTAATTAATTTATTTACTGTCTTGACAGCCTTTTCTTAGACTAATTATTATCTGATTTCGCTCAATAATTAAGCAATCTTGGTTAAGGCCTTTTAGTTAACTCCGTGAGTAGCTAATTCAGCAAGAGCAACAACGACTGGCTAAAAAATAGATTATAGAAAGATATCATTTACTTATAAGAGTTGGCTATGTGAGGTGTTGTCAGTAAGTCTCTTGTGAACTGTTTCATACTTTGATTTAACTTAGACAAATGAAGCACCTAAGCTCAAATGTTAGACGAGTTTGGCAGCATCATCAATAGCATCAATAACATCATCGATGGCAGCGACTTTAGCAACAAAGGTTTCGTGTTATTAGTTTCTTGTGGCTTCTTCTCTAGCATAAGTTTATTCATTTGTTGCAATGTCTGAAATTGTGACTCTAATGTCTTCTTCAGAAACAGCCAAAGCTTCAATTGTGTCATCTCTCAATTAAGTGTTAGATGAGATTTGATTTTAGTGATACAAGATTTCCTTTTCTAAATCTTCAACGATCTATTATATGGTTTAATATTCTTACTCTATTGTTTGTGGTTGTATCAAGTTCAAAAGCATGATCATGGTCATTTTAATCTTATTATAATCCAGCAGCAACACCATTCAATAACATATTGACCTCATTGGCTGGTGTTTAAGCTTATAAGTGTGCCTTGATTGCTGACAACACAACATTTCCAAATGGATTAGAATCAATCTAAGCCAAGCTTGCATGTGTATCTACAAACTTGGAAGCTGCAAGAGCAAGAACCAATGTCAAGATGGCTAGTTTTTGCATATATTTAATTTAATGTTTTAAAAACGGATCGAAAATGCTTATGTATGTAATTAATTTATAAATTATTATCCCCATTTTCTTATAATATTACTTAAATCATATAATCAATTTTTCATATCATCCAATCAATCCATTTTTTTAATAAATGTATCTCCTTCTTTACCCTTATTGGATCATTAATATTATGTAATTTTAAGTAAATTAAATCCTCATTTTTAGGCAATTTTTGTTTTATTATTGTGCAAAACTTTATATTTTCTATTTCTCTCATTAATACTTAATGTATATAATTGAATTAGATATTGTATTATTTCCATCTTAATATTTTCATCTAACTTAAACTTAATCCTTATTATTAATATACCAAATTACTCTTACTAGATTAATCTTTTATTAATGAGTTTTATTTGATTTATTATTCCATATGGTATCTATCATTTTTTTGTTTAATAAAATCTCTTTAAAAAACTTAAAAAAATTAAGAATAATCATAAGAAAATTAAGATAACTATTTAAATTAGAAATGATATCAAATTAAATTTGTAAATATTTTAGTCAAATAATATATTCTTCAATGTTTTTTATAAATATGTTAACATTTGAATACAAAAGATGAGATTGTTAGTATTTTATAAAGTTGTTTAATTATTAATTAAAATCTTGCAAAAAATATTCAAAAAATAATTTAATTTTTCTAATGTCAGCACCTTTTTATACAGTGAAAGTAAACTCATGAAATTTATAAAAGGATGTACCAGCTTAAGATTTCATTCGTGCTTATGCAGAATACTTGAAAAAAAATAACAAGATCAAGATTCCAGAGTGGGGTTCAATAGTAAAGACAGGACTTGGAAAAGAAATCTCACCAATTGATTAAGATTGGATGTATGTTAGAGCTGCAGCACTTGCTCGTAAAATTTATGTTAGAGGCCATTGGGTATTAATAATTAAATGATTAACTTTAGGGTGTTGGAAATCTGACTCATATGTTTGGCTCAGTTAATGATAATGGAAAGCATGAATCAGGATCTGGAAAAGTTATTAGATATTTACTCTAATAATTGGAAACAATTAAAGTTTTAAAGAAAGATAACAAATCACTTTTAAAGAAAGGATCAAGAATTGTTACCAAAGAAGGATAATAAGATTTAAATAGAATTGCAACTCAAGTTGCCTTAGCTGCCAGAAAATGATTTATAATACATCACATAAGTACATTAATAAATATACAGGATTATAATCATAAATATATATTTTATATATAAAATCAAATTTCATACTATTCCCGTAAAAGAGTATCGATATAATTTTCTATTTTATTTTTTAATGTTTCTTCTCTTTTCTAAATAATAGGAAAAGGGAATATTATCAAATTATCAATAGATTCTCTTATTGTTTCGCTTTAATCAGATAAAGCCAATTCTTTCTAATCCTATATTTGACCCAATTCTTTCTAATCCTATATTTAACCCAATGTTTTATTTATTTTAGGTTACTTTAGCTTATAGTAAATATAAAATTTAATTCTATTTCTATATTTTATTTTTCCTTATTGAAATGCATACCCAACATCCTTATCATCAATAATAACAATTTTGTCAGAATCATTATCATAAAAACTAAACTATGCTTTCAAAATTTTACTATATCACTATATCTTTCAATTCTATTCCTAATCTATTTAATTTACATTTAAGTTCACGGATAGTTAAATTTTCAATAAAAATTAAGAATGTTTCTCTTTTAGTTTATATTTTTATATCCATATAAAATTCTTTTTAATATAAAATAATTATCAATTTATTTCAATACTATCGACTTTATTTTAAAATTCTACTAAGCGATTGCTACAAATCAGCTAATTCATGATTATGTCTATTAATATATATTTTAATATATACCCAGCACTAAATGCTCCTATTTAAGTAGGTGGAATTGCATTTAATTTTGCACTCAATAATCTTATATCACTTTAATTTCCACCAAAACCCAATCTACTCTGATTATTACCTAAGAAAATGGATGATTTAGTTGATAAATGATGAGATTGATAACTTGAATAAGATAATTCATTATTAAGTCTAGTAAATTTTGTGTTTTGAATTTAGAGCTCTAGTCCTAATTTTTAATCCCAATTCTTGAATCTATCCAATCTAACTTTAGCTCTTTAAGGAGATTCATTATAATTTCTATTTGATCTAATAGGAGACGTACTTTTATGAATGCTACTAAATACAATATGAGCAGGAGTTAAAGCACTAAACTAATTAAAATAAATACTGGTATTCCCCAACTACTACTCCTTATAAGCCTTTGCTTTACTTTGGTGAAGAGTCTCTAAATAATCTCATTCTGACTGGAGACATATTAGTTGACTCTCTGGTTTTTGTTGTATAGTTAGAGTCTCCAAGTTTACTAATTGCAGTTGATAACAACCCAATTTAACTGTTTTTTGGTTTGTAAACTTTGCTGGATTCAACACTCAAGATAGATTGAGTTAACATAATTTTATTTATGTGTAATAAAATTTATATTTCCCCCTTTTATATGGGTCAAATTTTATAAAAAATTAATGTTTAGAAAATCATATTGATAAAGGCACTTATCTAAAAATATATTAATAATTGATTTTTTTAACTAGAATGAATTTAAATAGATCCAAATAATGAGAAACTCATATAGTTATCTATATAGATAAATTATTTCATTTTAGATTTGATGATATTTTATTTCAAATATAATGATTGATTACGTTAGAAATATAATTTATCCTGTATTAGCTTTCTCATCTATGTATAATAATCTTAACTTGATGTTTAGTATTCAATTCTCAAATTTTATAAAAGGTCCTAAAAATTTAACTGTTATTAACTTTTGATTATTAGGTTTTTTTGTATATTTTAATTAAATTAATAAGATTTATTTGTTTTTTTAGATTAAATATTCTTAAAATTATTGTTTTATAATTTAGATTAGTTGAAAAGGTTTTTTTATTTTTGTCTAAAAATAATTATATAAAAATTATTTAACTTGTTTGAGTTAATAACAGAATTTTGGTTTTTAAAAGTCATATATTAATAATATTATTTAATTTTCAAGTTTTTTTCACATTTTATTGTGTGTATAATAAAATATCAAAATTTTCTATTGTGGACTGAGATTTTCTTAAACTTAAGAATTCATGATAAGAGTTATATGATATTTATACTGTTTTTATTGATTTAAAAAAATGAATATTTTCAATTTTTGATTCTATATTTAAGAAAAAATATTAGAGAAAATAAATCAAGCAGCAAATTGAAATCCTCAGAATTTTAATTTAAGCAATATAAGCTAAAAATGGGTTTATTACTTAACTAAAAATCTTTGAAATACTTAAGAGTATTTCTAAAAAAAATGAAGAAAGAAAAGCAATTAAGTCTAATGATTCATTTTTTAAATTGAATATATTTGTATTATTATGGAAATCATTTTCTTCCAAGGCTGGTTTATGAAGCTAAGGATCTAACTTAGTCTTTGAACAATTAGATGACAACATCGATGATAGCGTTTTCCTCTATTGATTATTGTGATAAATGGTACCGGCTCTTCTGGCAGTTTCGGAGGCATAGAATTCTCTCTTCTCTTCCAAATCAGCGGTAGCTCCTGCAACGGCGTTCAAAGAATCTTTCCAGAGTTTGAGGGCTTTGGCTTATTAAGCAAGGACAGCTGGGAGTTGCTATAAAATTAAATTAAATAAAATTGTACAGTTTCTAATTTTTCAACTAAACCAGTTCTTCTTTCTTATTCTGAGGTCAACCAAGCAACTTCAGCATTAGTATCTGAAACGTATTTGGCAAGAGCAAATGCTGCATGGATTTCTTATTCTTATAAGGTAGCAAGAGTTGATTCTAATTCAACTTATAAATCTTATAAGATTTAAAGGACTTATTCTCCAGTTGTTCCTTCTCTTTTAACTTCAGCAAGTGATTAGAATTTTTAGATAGCATCTTATTAGAAAAGATGACTGTATGCTGATAATTTATCGGCGATTGTTTAAGCCTTTTCAACAAGTTCAACTCCAGCATTGTTTGTTAAGAAACCAGCTACATCTTATTATAAGAGTTAGACGACTCCGATGGCATCAGCATGATCAGCTAAGGATCTAACAAAAAGTCCATTGGCCCAACATCTTTAGTCTTGGAGTTAATTATTTCTTCTAACGATTTCAGCAAGTCTGGCTTCAGCCCAGGCTAACCATTAATATCCATCCTTAATAAATTAATTATTTTGCTTACTTTGACTTAAGCTTCAACATCGGTTCTGACAGCACCGAGAGCTTCCCATTATTACTTATTGAGTGAGGCAACATTAGTCAAGTCACCAATAACTTATGAAAAGATTTCTACAAATAATAATACTATATACCTTCGTCTGTATTGTTCTTTTTGTCAGCAGCAGCTTACACATTCACATTTTCTGTTTTCAAATCTCTTAAGAGATTGTAAACGGATTCAACAGCATCATTTCCTCTTGTGCCTGCTTGGAGAAGCACGGCAAATTTGTTTGTGTCAAGTGCAAACACAGCTGCTACGAGGCAAATCACAACGAATGTTTTCATATTTATTTTTAATAATACCAAAAACGGAATAAAATTTCTTCGTTTTAATGTTGGTATATATAATTATTTTTATAATTCTAGACTATGTAAATGTTTCATAACATTTATACTTATTAAATTATTGTTATTGTTCCCATCTTCACTAATCCATTGCCAAACATTTATTTGAATCAAGTAAATTCATAATTAAACAAATTATTTATAAAAAGATATTTTTAACTTTAATACAAGAATCTAACATGCCTAAATAATAAATATTAAAACTATCGACCTTAAATAATATTATTAATAAAAATCAAAATGTCTTCACCATCAACTAAATTCATAAACTCTATTTTTTTAATTTTCCAATCATATAAAGTCTTTGTTGAAATATTTTACTCATAACTAAACAGTATTTATTAAAGGAAACCTATATTTATGATTTTCAACATTAAAAAATATTGTTTACAAATAATTTATTACTATTTCAACTTTTTGAGATTTAAAAATTATAGAATCTCTAAATATATTTAGATGATTAAAAGCTATATATTCTTAAGAAATTTTAATTTATATTTTAAAAGTTATATAAATCAAAAAAAATTGGTGATAATATTAATTAGACTTAAATTATATTATTCTTATGCTGGATCTCAGTTAAAATATTTCTTTGTTATTATAATCTGTCAGTATGTAAGATATAGATTCTTAAAGCAAATACATTTAATAAAATTATGAATATAATAATACTTTATATATTAAACATCTTTGATACAATAATTGATTATTGTATCAAAGATTTTTAATATATAAAGATTATTAAATTTGATAAAAATCAATTATTAGACTAATATATTAATTATAAGAGATTGAAGTATTGAATTCGAACTATAGATTTCTAAAGCAATTTAAAAAATAGTTTATAAGCTATAGATAATATTTTATGAAAAATATAAAATTAAATAAAATGGATATTTTATTTAAGAAAACTAGATATGTAATAACATTAATTTATTGATCATATGTAGATAATTATAAAAATAGATATTAAAAATTATTACTAAAATGAGATTCTATATTTAGTTCATTTTTCAATTATTTAGAATATAATTAGCAATTGAATTGAATTTAAGAATATTGAATTATATTTCTATATGATCAATTTTACCCCTTACTATATTTTTTAATGCTCTCCTCCAATGCACTTTTACAACCACAATCTCCACCCCATCTTTAATGTATTTCACTACAATTAAAGGTTGGCTTATTATATAATTTTTAATGTACTTTTTGTAATCTTTCATTTACTTCGTTATGCAACATGCAAAGATATTACATGAAATCGACTCTAGTGGTTCCCTCGTATGGCAAAACGGTAGTCATATTCAGAAAATGTCCTGCACACTCTTTACAGGGGAAGAACTGTCCACTAACGTGGAAAAAATAGCATTTTTGTCTTACAATAGATTCAAAAAGACATTGATTTTGAATGTGAATTCTTCATCAAAATCAACTGGAAGAGTGGCTGAAATCATGTGCAAAAGAGTCCATCCTGCTCGACCTAATTCTTCTCTGGTAATTCCATTGGTAAATTTCTTTTCTAATTTGATTTTTTATTAAAGAGTAACCTTCAATTATATCAGTTTCATTTTGATCTAATATTTTTAAATGCTCTTCATCTGGCTATTTGATTTCCCAAGGCAATGGAACTTAAACAGCTAGCAAATCTGTTGCTTTTATATATTAGGCTTCTTGGATTTATTATGGTATTTCATCATATTAATGGATTGTATTAATGAGGAACAGAGTGATAAAAAAGAGTGAAACACCAACTATCACGATGTAAGGCTTTTACATTAAATTAAATAAAAAATATATAAAAATGGAATACCCAGATGGGTACCTACTACGTAAGAATATCTACTAATCAAGCTCTTTTTTCTTGGGATATTAAAAGAACTAGTACTAAATTGAAATTGTGCCAAGATCAATTATAAGTGATAGCTACTGATGGATCTGGATTTAAAAGTGCTATTGGTGATTAGGTATGAAAATAACTACTTTAAGGAATTCACTCCAGGTTATAAATATTACTATGAGATTAAAATCTTGAAGGGCAGTTTAATAAAGATTGGCGTATGCACCAAGAATGGGCTGTTCTAAGATGTAAACTCAATGCTCCACCTAAGCAAGCTTTCAGTGATAATGAAGAAGGATGGGCAATCTATAATGGCGAACTGAGACACAATTCTAATTCCAGTGGCAATAAATATGGCAAATAATACAAGAAAGGAGATATTATTGGAGTAATGCTTAATATGATTGATGTACAAATTAACTAATTCAATTTTAAAAGGGATAGTTATCTTTTTCTATAAATGGAGAGAATCAGGGAATTGCCTTTGAATGTAAAGAGCTAAAGGAAGTTCCATTATATGCCGCCATTGCTCCAATTTATAAAGAAGATGGTATAGAATTGCTTATGGCAGTCAGGGAAGATTGATTTTTAATTAATTTAATCATTATTCAGATGAAATAACATCATATACCTATCAAATCATACTAATGTTGTTCAATTTTTTGTATTTTAATACAATTTGAAATCAAAATTTATTCAAAATTGCATTAAAAGATAATTAATAATTAATATTATGTAATTATTTATGATAATTTCATCTTCCTTATGGATATTGATCTAAAATAATTCAAATTAATTACAATTGCTAAATGTTTATTATTTTTTTTGATAGTTATATGTAAATGTATCTATGTCAGGGTAAATTTAATTTTACTATATCTATTGATTTACAATTGGAATCTATTTTTTACTTTCTAATTCTTCTTTTTCTTTTTTCAAATCTAACATTCCAAGAAGATCATTTGGATTGTTATTTGTTTATTTTTATTATTAAGTAGAAATAAAATCTCCAAATAATTAATCTTCCTACTTTGTTTATTATAGTTTTTACTAATTTTAATTAAACTATTATTGATTAACTTAAAAGTATTACTATTGATTATTTATAGAATTATATTGTAATTAATTATAGTTTATTTATAAAGACTATTGTTAATTTTATTAATAAAGATTCAAATTTGTTTATTAATTTTATTACTACTAATAATATTATTGTGGTTATGAATATTATTATTATTAATAAAGTTATTATAGTTATTATTATTGATTCTATTATTGTTCTTATCCAAAAATATAATTTTATTATTGTTATATTGATTATTATTATTAAACTTATTAACTAAATACATCTAAAGGCAAAAGAACTTATGATTATGTTTATTATTAAGGAAAGACCTAAGGTTTTACATTATCAAAAGATCCCCAATCATTATTATTTGATTTTTATGTTGGAGGAGGTTAAAGTGGTTAAATCTGTGGTGGAGCTTATGCTTATTCATTTTATTAAGGTTCAAAATCAAATATATCAATTATATTTTGCTTTTAAGTTTATTATGATGATTAAGTATTTTATTTTGCTTATTATATTTATTAAGGTTGTTATTATATTGATTTTGATGCTGGAACATCCCATTTTTCGATTGGTTTTGCAAGTTTTTGAATAATTTCTTAGAATGGTGGTTTAATTACTTCTGTTTAAGGTACATTCCATTAAATAGTATTATTATTATTATTATTATTATTATTAGTTTATGTTTTCTTAGATTTATCAATACCATCATCATTCCAAATTCCATACTTTTACTCTAAATTTAATTTATTTATGTTTTACAATAAGTTTATTAATCAGCTTTCGTATTATTATTTGATCTATTAGCATTATTTTTAGATGCCTCATTCATTTAAGAATCATTTCCATATCCCTTATATGAGTCATTCTTATAAGTGTCTCTTCCATAACCTTAATAATTAGTATTACTTCCTATAGCTCCAATTCCTCCTGCAGCTAAAATTTAATAAATTTAAATAAGATGCCTGCCAAACGTTCACGAATCTTTTTAGCATTATCTCGTTCTTCTTCAATTTATTTCTCGTCACAGAGTAAATCAACAAGTTACTTACTCTTTTCTCGAACTAATATTATTGATTAAATTCTACTTGAAAGTCCTTTATCAGAACCTTGTTCAATTATTATGAAATCTGAAAAACTTCTTATTTTAAATATAGAATCTCTGAACTCTCCAACGCAACGTGGTGCTCCATTTTTAGTCAAATAATCTATCAAATTGAGTGTCTAATGTCTAATAGCATTTTTATGCATACTTTCAAAATTCTTCTCCATTCTTTATTGTCTGAATCAAGTCTCTTCCAGATAAATTTCATTATTGTATCACATTATGTGCTATATTTTATTGCTTGTCTTATACAATCCAAATGATGCCTCTGAAATCTCTTATAATAATTTTGTAGGTGTGTTCCAATTTTCATTTGATGTAGCTTCTATTAAAGTATCAGCAAGTGGAGTCTTTGTAAGTTTATCTTTACTATTGGTTTAATTAAAAATAAATACAATTATAAAGCAGCTTCCTTTATAGCTTGTAGATTCATTTAATAAATTTATGTTTCTAAATCAGATTCCATAAACAAAATAAAGAAGTATATCTTAACTTAGTTTAAGGTTATATTTAAGTAGAGAAGGCCAAAAAAAATAGAGAGAGAATCAATCACTTTTTCAAAATATATTAGGCATTATTCATAAATCAAAAAATTAATTTTATTATTATGGAAATAATACAATGAAATAGTTTTTTAATTATGAATTCTTATATTAAAGAATGTTTTTTAAAATGATTTTCAAAAACCTGATGGAGAGTTTATAGAATTTAAATATGATAATAATTAAAGGGATAGAATTTATAAAGAGACATATGGTTATTTTTGTTGATAAAAAAATATATATATAAAAAAAATCAATTTTGTTCATCACTATCTGTTTCCCATTCATCATTATCATTATTTTCAGGACCAGTAATTGGTCTAAAATGTTCTCGTTCTCCTCTTTAATTTAATTCTTCCTACATTTCCTCATACATTTATTCATATATTTGCTTATCTAATTCATCTTCTTCATAATGTGAATCATCATCAACCCAAGATAATTGCTCTTCTTAATTGAAATGTAGAGTTCCTTATTCATCCATATGGCATTCAGTTTTTAATTGAATTTTCTTTTTTTATTCTTATTCTACGTTCAAATCTGGATTAGAATCATCTTTAAAAATGAGATCAGCCATGGTTCTATATGAAAAATTAGCTAAAATTTCTTAAGCTTATTCTTTGGATAATTGATTGTATAGCTTTTTTTAATTTGTTATTGGTTGTTCTTTATCTCTTTTCAACCACTTGAACATTAAAATTATTTTAAGGCTAAGAATTATTAAAATTTTATAATATGTAGTAATGCAATAGATCTTAAAAAATAGCCATCTGTACAGTTGGTTTACCTGCTAGAGGGAAAACATATATTTCTCGAAAATTGAATCGTTATTTCAATTGGTTAGGTTATAAGAGTAGAGTATTCATTAATGGTAATTACAGAAGAGAAATATGTGGTACTGAATGCAATTCTTTATTTTTTGATCCTCATAACGAAGAAGTATAATGAAGTAATATAAAATTAGGCTTAAAAAGCAAGGAGTGATTGTGCAAAAATGGCATTATAAGATTTAATATAATTTCTTAAAAATGGAGGAGATATAGGAATACTTGATGGAACAAACATTACAAAAGAAAGAAGACATTAGATTGAAAGTGATTTGAAATCCTCTTTTAATGGTATTCAAACTTTATGGATTGAATCAATATGTAATGATTCTAAAGTGATTCAAAATAACATTCGATTAACTAAGATTAATAATCCAGATTATTGTAACATGGATTCTGAACAAGCTACAATAGATTTTCTTAATAGAATAAAGATGTACGAGTAAATCTATAAAACTATAACCGACGATGAGGATCTCTCATATATTAAGACTATTAACGTCGGAGCAGACGTACAAAACATGTTTCCATGCTTAGATTATTGTTCATTAAGTTTATGGCTTTCTGTTGTCCAAGGTCGTATCCTTTATTATGAATTTGCATACCTATCCAAGACCAATCTACTTATCTAGACATGGAGAGAGCCAATACAATGTTGATGATAGAGTTGGAGGAGATTCCGATTTATCAGAATTAGGAGAGATGTATGCAGACAAATTGGCAGACTTTTTCAATTAAGAATTCTCTACTAAAGAAATAAAAAATGAAATCATATTTTTAACATCAACAATGAGAAGAGCTGTTCATACATCAGATGTAGTTGCTTAAAAATTAGAAATCTAACCATTATAACTTAAAACATTAGATGAAATTAATGTAGGAATTTGTGATGGAATGACTTATACTGAAATTGCATAGAAATTCCCTAATGATTTCTAAGTAATCATTTATTAATATAAATATTTATTAGGAAAGAAAAATCAATAAATTAGGTTATAGATATCCAAGAGGAGAATCATATTTAGATTTAATTAGTAGAATTGAACCTGTTATATTTGAAATTGAAAGATCAAGACAACCAGTTATGATAATAGCACATTAGGCCATTTTAAGATGTTTATATGCATACTTTCATTAAAATGAGATACCAGAAGTACCTACTCTAGATATACCGTTACATTGTGTTATAAAATTGACTCCTGCTGCCTACTTTTGTGATGAAAAAAGAGTGCTAATCAACCCTTAAACTGGTGAAATCACTATTAAAGAGGAATATGTACAAGAATTTATTAGATCTAAGAGCAAATAAAAGAGCTTTATTGATTTATGATTATATTCATCAAATGTTAATGGATTGATCATTAAAAATAATATAATTTATTTATATTATATATATGAAAATAAATATTCGTTTTTCGATTTTTTAGCACAAAATAATCCTCAAACGTATGTCAATAATAATTACAATAAATGCTAAAACTAACTCTTTGTGTATTGTTGGTGCTTGGTGCAACAGCCATCAATGTCTAATCCTCCATCTGGACTAACCGTGACTAAAAGGCTCTTGCTTAAATTCACTCATCTGGTTGGGGAAAGTTCATTTTGAATTTTGCTGAACTTCATTTGTCAACTGGAGGTATTCTCTCTGAACTCAACAGCGAAATTGCAAAACTTGTAAACTTATATCATTAATAATTAAGGTTGATGAATTAGAAGAGGAATTAGCTGGAGTACATCACGAATTTAACAGAAGAACTGACGTTCATAATAGAGAAGTATCAAGACTTGAATAAGAAATCTAAGATAAAGAAAGAGGTATCAATTATTTTTGATCCTTTTTAGAACTCTTCAATGCTCATGATTTCTATGATAATGTCCTTATCCCATAAAGAGATAGATTTGCTGCCTAACTTGAATAATTATAAGAAAATATTGCCTAAAACAGAAGAACACTCCAAGAAGCCACAGTCTAAAGAGAAAATGATCACGAGACCTTTGAAGCTTAAGTTGCAGAACATAATGATGCCATTAGTGCTATTGATGAATGTCTCTAATTATTGAGCACAATTGCAACCCCATCTCTTGCTTAAATCAAGAAGGTTTAAAAGAACCTCACTAAAATCCAAAACTCATTGAAAAAGCACAACTAATTCCAAATCTTTGTTAAAGTACTTTTGGAAATCACAGTTGAATCTAACTTTGCTGATCAAGGTGCTCTTAGAGATGTAATATATATATTCATACTTAGATTATTGTTGCTTTCAATAACTTGAGAGTTGAATTAGTTGATTCTCTTAACTAAATCACAGCTGATGAAGCTTAAGCTGTTACTGACTTCAATGCATAAGTTATCTAATTGAACTCAGAACATGCTGAATTCTAAAGAGCAGTTGTTGTTAAGAATGCTGAAATTGAAGCTAATGCAAGTACTATTAACATATCTAATTTATTTAGCCAAGATTGAATAAACTCTTGACCTTATCGATGAACTCGATGCTGATTTAGCAACCCTTAATGGATAATTATAAGCTGAAAATGATGATTATGCTTTTGCCACTGATGTCTACAATTCAACTGTTGCAGAATACAACAAAGAAATCAATGCTGCCAACCAAGCCTTAGAATTGCTCAACTAACCAAGATTTTAAGATTATGTTAAATCATAACTCAAAGGAGCATGATCTATTCAATAATATCATTCAAAAGTTATCACCATTCTATCAAATTTTTATTTACTTTTATTCTCTTAGTAAAATTCTATTTTTATCATGTTGAAACTGAATCCATTTCTCAATTTCTTAGTAAAATTTAATAAACAATTATATTTTTTAATAAGTTAAGTTAACTAAACAAATATTATTTTTAATAATATAATGGATACTAGCAATCCTCTTTTTTTATCAGTTTTTACTCTAAAAAATAAAATATTATTTCAATAAATTGAAATTAGGGTTTATGAAAATTTACAATTAATTAATACTTTCACAATCTATGATTTATATTTTTAAATATTATATATAATCAACCATTATGTCATCAATTAGTAAGGATTATAATTGAATATCCTTTTTTATTATTGAAATCATTTAATTATAATCCTAAAAGCATATTCTTCTAAAAAACTTGATGTTCTGATATTTATTATGTTTAGAAAACTATGATAATAATATTAATGTAAAAGAAAACTAAAATAATTCATAAGTGTAATTTAACAGTTATATATGATTTATGGTATTTTTAATTGAAAATCTCATTCTTTATTATACTTCATTTAAGTATTATTTAAGAATAGATACCCAAGAGTTTCACATTCTTAAAATTGTGATTACAATTTAATTTAGTTAGATATAAAGAAAAATATTTTAGAATTTTAAATCTATCCTGACAAAATTAAGAAAATTTCATCATCGCTTTAAAAGTTTAGTCCTTGTATTAGTTTGAAAATCATATAAATAATTAGACTAATAATTAAAGTTAAAAAATCAAAAGTTTTTTTTTTATTTTTGTTGAAATTTTTCTCTCTTTTATTTGGAGTGTTTAGATTATGCTATTATATTGGACATATCCAATTAGTAGAAAATAAGGAAGGCTGGCTTTATATTAAGAATTAAAAATTATTATATCAAACAATTTAAACAATAAAAATAGAGATAGTTTATATCTTATCTAATAATTGAGAATTTAGTTGGTTCCAGACCATATATAAATGAATTAAAAATGCCTAATATTTATCAATAAAAATTTTAATTCACTGTATATTTAATCTTTTTTCGATCTTCAATTTTTGTTTCCTTGAATTATCAGAATTAAATAATAAACCACATATATCACTATTTAAAATTAATTATTAATAAAATAAGTATTGATTCTTGGATTAAATTCATTTAAATGGAGTTTTTCTTAATAATAATCCTAATTTAATTTATAATTAACGCATAAACAAATAGCTTTAATAATATTGTTTAATTACCATTGTATATAACAATTCAATTTAAGAATTCAATTCTAATCTTATTTATACTACATTAAAAACAAAATAATTCGAAAAGTTAGTTTATTAAAAGTGTAAAATTATGAAATATAAAGGACAATTATTCAAGATCTTAATGTGTAAAAGATTTCTTATTTAAATATCTCATAAGATTTAATGAAATTTAAATTTTCTTAATGTAAATTCATTGAACAATTTATTAATATTTACACAATAATATAAAGTCTTATTTTAATCATGTAATGTAGGTAAAAAGCATAAACTTAACAAGCAAGCAATTAGGATTAAACCAAAAAATGATGAAGAGTCTGATTAATTTTTTGGATTAATTAATGAGGCCATTTCACAAAAGCGACCTAGATCGAATAGTAGATAACATAAACCTAAGAAGCTTTCGAAGATGTACTATTTAATTAAATACAAAAGGGAATAAAAGAGTTAACATAATTATATTACATCTTTAAAAGAAATATAATTGACTTAAAATCATAATGAAAGTTATTGTGAAGGAATAGATGAAGAGATAAACATTAATAGATCAGTTCTTAATTTCGAAGTAAAGATTAAAAATAAATATAGCTTATTGATGCTATAGAATTTGAAAATAGAATTGGTAGAAAATAAGAACAATATAAAGTATATAGATCTTTTGAAGGCATGATAAATGAAGAATAAAACAATACTATTTATCATAAGTATAACTAAAAAAGCTAAGAAAACATTAGAGATAATTAAACTGAATATTTAAAGTCATAAGGCTAATAAGAAATTTTGAATGATTATAATGTTAGATCAAAAAGGAATGTCCATTAAGATAATTACAATTTAATATTGATAAATTCTTAAGGAATAGAAGCTATTTTGAATAATTTCCAAAATTATTTTGATTCTTATCCTCTTTTGAAATTAAGAAAATACATAGTTCTTTTGTTAGAGATTTTATCATAGATTTGTGAAATCATAATATTAAGTAGAGTGTATAGATATGTAATGCTTATTCTAATTACAATTAACATAATATTATTAATAACAAAGTATTATAGTAATTTTTATGAGGAATATTAATAATTTTTTGATACATAATAAGAAGGTATAATTTAATAATAATTTAGTGTTTTTTATAATATATGTTTTAGAAATATGTATAAGAGTTGCAGGACACAATATAGTTAACTTTTTATGTAAATTTTGGAATATTTTTGATTTGTTAAATGTAGTGATTTTGGGTTTAGTAACATATGGACTTATTTCATTTGATTTTTCACCTTTAAGAGCAATAAGAGTATTGATATTCTTAAGTTAATTATCTTCATAATTATAATTAACTTTTAAAGCACTTATTTAATCATTAAGATATATGTTAGAAGCATTATTAATTGTATTAATATTTTGTGTACTTTTTGCTAATGTTGGTCTACATTAATTTGCAACTGCCTTTTACAATAGATGTGTTTATTTAGAAGACGGATTTATATTAACTGATTAATATTGTGGATGGCTTGATTGTCCAAAATATTCAACATGTATAAATATTCCAATAATATTTGCACAAGATCAAATAACTAATTTTAATAATTTCATTAATTCTTTTATTTCTATAATAAGGATAATTACAATGGATAATTGGACTGATTTGATGTATCCTACTCTTTATACTTTAAGTCCATTGACATGGATTTATTTTGTATTTGTAATATTTATAGTTGGATTTTTTGCATTTAATTTAATTATAGCAATATTAAAGACATATTATTCTCATATAGTAGCTAACTATTCATAAGATTAAGATGATGTTAGAAAAGAATAAAATGATAAAATTGAAATTAATTTGAGATTTATTAAAGATTTAGGTTTTTATTAAAAATTAAAAGTACTATAAAAAGCTAAATTACATACATAATAATAATAATAATTAGATTGTTCTTAATCTTAGATTATAAACAATTATACAATAAAATAACCCTTTTTAGATTAATAAATGGGTAATTAATCAATAATGAGTCCTTAAATATCAGCTAGAATAGTAGCTAAGAGTACTGCAAAGAAAATATAAAGATTTACTAAGAATTAAATTGAAAAGACATAAAAAAAAAAGTAATATGCTCATGTTCTTTCAGCTAGACAAAAAAGAGAAATGGAAGAATTAAATAATTAATAAAAGAGTAATTTTATAGGTAAAATTAAATCATCTTGTAAATTGAGATATATAATATTACCTAAAAGATCTTTGATTTTAGAATAGACATTTTAATTTTAAAATTCAAATGAAGAAGAAATGGAAATTCTACATTAATTATAAACACATGATGTTTTAGGATGGAAAGTATCAGTTGTATTTAAAGATTATGTTTCTAATTCTTAAAGTGAAGTTTTAGGATAAAAATAAGAATATTTATTAAAAGAAAAAAAATTATTAACAGAATTATAAAAAATTAGATCCAAAAAAATTAATTAATTTTATTTTGATGATGAAATTCTTAAATAATATTAAAATACTTGCAATAAGATGATTAGAAATAGTATCTTACCTATTAATAAAACTAGAAGAAAAATCAAATTATCAACTTAAACATTTGAAGAATTAAGGAATGATGAAATATAAATTATATCTCCAAAGAGACAATCTTCTAAATCATCTAGTGTTGAAAGGAAATTTAGAATTCCAAGAAAAACTATGCATACAATAAAATAATAGAAGAGTGATTTTTTTTTTGAATTTCCAGAATATTAGGAAGGTGAACCATTTATTTATTTAAATGGTGTCAAAAGAAATTATGAATCTGTATCTATTCTAATCAATAGAACCTTAGAAAATGATCAATTGATTATAGATACAGATGATTTGAATACTTTATTTTTTTAATATTTGAAATATCGTGTAATAATTAAGTAATTATTTATTAGAGATTGGAAATTAAGAATAATGCAATATGTAAACAAAATATTTCATTTCTTGATGTTATTAAGAATAAAAAATTAAATCTTTTATCTATTTTTAAATCATTAAATTCTAAAGAAATTCATATTTGGATGATAGGTTTTACTGGATTATGGAAATCTATATAATTAAAAATAAAAATGTAATTAAATAATACTTTCATTAATTTAATTTTTGATTTTTCAAATTTATTAAGTTTTTGTGTTTTATGTTCAATTGGATATTTAGATGAATAACTTATAGAATAAATTAATTTTTATATGACAATTTAATTAATAATATAGATTTCTTTGAAATTAATAAGTTAAGGCATAAGTAAAATAATAAAAATTTATTTAAGTGCTTTTTGGATATGAAAGTGAGAACATCTTAGACTCTCTAATCATAATAACATAAATTATTTATAATATAATTACAATTATTGATATTCCATTTAAAGAGAATTATGGTAGTGAAATAAAGGCCCTTAGAGCAACTAATGCTATATTATTATATAGAATTATTAAATATAATTAATTTGTAACTAGAATTATGAGAATAGCAAAAATTACATTTAAAAAGTAATAATAATAATTAAAATTTATAGATATTTAAGTTTAATGTTTTTAATGTTATCAATCATTTTAATATTTTCTATTTTGGGAATGCAATTCTTTATTGAAAATTTCTAAGAAAATTAAAGTTTATCATAATTACATTCTTTTAAGAGTTTTGCAAAGTCTTGGATGACTATATTTAAAATTAGTACAAATGATGATGCAATTGGTATGTTAAAAGTTGTTATCAAATTTTAAAAACCTTGGATAGGTATCTTATTCTATTTTATAACTGTATTTACAATAAATTATTTAATTTATGGTCTTGTTATGGCAGTATTATTGGATGCTTTTTCTTCAGAATTAGAAATGGTAGTTGAAAATTAATAAGATTAATCATTAATTTTAGCAAGGAAAGTAGGTATATATGAGAATATTTAATTTGATTGTCAGAAAGACAATTTTACACAAAGTGAAGAAGAAATGTATTTTATATATATTACTTTTTAGAGTATAAGAATAAAGTACTTAACCAACAAAATCTCATTCATCTAAACATCATGCAAAAATAAATATTAGAGATTTACCAGAAACTTCTAAAAAACTATTTATGAAAAAGAGAAAAAGATAATGTAAATAAATATTATAAAATATTTTTAGAATTCATTTATTATGAAGATACTAAATGTGCAGACTCTTGTTTTATTTTTTCATATAATAATAGGTTTAGAAAGATATGTTATAGAATTTCTAAAAGTATACCATTTAAAATCTTAAATGATGTTACAATCATTATATCTGTAGTATTTTAAATAATATCTCATTTTGAATTATCAAACAATCAAAAATTATTTGATTCAAATTTAAATGGTTATTTCAAGATTAACTTATTTTTGTAAAACATTGTTATTTTATCCATATTTATAATTGAAATCATTGCAAAAGGATTTATACTAGATGAAGGAACTATCCTAAGAGATTTTTGGAAATTGGTTAATATGACATATACTACTGCATATTTCTTAAGTTTTATAAGTACTGCTCCTATTTTTAAATTAGCACATCAATTAAGTATAATATATATTAATAACTTAGTTTTTTGTAGACCATTAATGATGGTTAATATGTTTAATAGTGTTTAAGGTGTAAAAAATGCTATGGTTAAAAGTCTAATTTAGATTATCAATATAGTAGCTGTTATTTTATTAGTTTTTATGGTTTTTAATGTTTTTGCTATGCATTTATATTAATAAAAAATGGGTTATTGTGAAGATTTAATGAATTTTCATATCAGTTATTCAGAATGCCAAAAATAAAATAAACAATGGATTAATCATCCTTATAATTTTGATAATTTTGTAAATGGATTATTTACATTAACTATGATATCTTCATTAGATGCATGGGGAGAAATCATGTAAGTATGTTATAATGCCAGTAATTCAAATAAAGGTCCTTCTCCTTTTAAAATCTAATGGGCAACTTATTTATTATTTGTAACTTTTATTTTTATTGGGGCAATGTTTTTTATGGGTTTTTTGACTGGTGTTTTATTTACAGAATTTTAAAAGTTTACAAAAAAGATAGAAAATAAAAATTTAACTTAGGATTAATCTCAATTTATATAAATATGTTCAATTGTTCTGAATTAGAAACCTGGCTATTCTCATGCTCCTCATTCCTAAATTAGAAAATTAGCATATAAGTTAGCCTTTAGTAAATAGTAATAAAATTATATTATAATTTTAGTTATAAATATTATTATAATTGTATTTTAGTTACAAATAGTATTGTATTATGTTTTTTATTTGATATTAATTCATAATATACTAGAAATTTAGCTAATTAATTATATTAATTACATGCTATTATATTTACCTTTGATTGTATAATAAAGATTATGGCATATGGAGTAACTAGATATTTGGCATCTAGATGGAGATTGTTTGAATTAATTATTACAGTTGTATCAATTGCAGATTTCTTTTATGATGTAAAAAAAAGATGGTTTCATCTATTTACAAATGGGTCTTAAGATGAAACTATAATATATTTTGCCAGAGTGTTCTTGATATGTAGAGATATAAAGATTTTATTAATATTCTAAGAATTTAAAGGACTTCAAAGATTAATGCGAGTCTTGTTCTTTTCATCTTCCTTACTTCTTAAAATACTTTACATATAATTAACTATATAAGCTACTTATGCTTTAGTAGGAACTCGTCTATTTGGGCATATTACAAAAGTAAATTGATATATATATATATTTTTTTAGGGTAGAGCCATTGATGAGTATTATCTAAATTTTAGGAATTTTATTAATGCTGCTTTAGTCTTATTTAAATGTACAACAGGAGATGATTGGAGAGCTTTAATAATTGATTGTAGTGGTTCTAATATGTATTGTCTTGAAGATATTTAACAATGCGGTTCTGGATGGGCATATCTATACTTTTTATCATACTATTTATTATCTAATATAATAGTTATGAATTTATTTGTTTTAGCTTTAGTTGATCAATTTGAAAGTATATATTTTTATGAATTATATTAATAGGTTTTTTTAGTACTACTACAAATGTAATATAAACTTTTGTTGAGAATATAGATCATTTTTGTAATTGTTGGTGTCGTTATACATATGATACTAAAGGACTAAAAATGCATACTAGATATATAGGTAGATTTTTATTAGATTTAAATTAACCACTTGGAGCATAAAAGGGAGATAATATATGGGATGCTGCAAAGGATGCATTTCATTTTAGAATTAGAGCGTAATTTTTGAATATATTTTAGAGATAAAAGAAGTTATGTAAATTTTAATGAATTATTATATGAAACATTAAGATATGCATTTTTAGAGAAAGTCTTTAAAGATGGAACTCCTGCAGGGAAAGCTGAAATGAAATTGTTTGATATGGCTATGAAAAGAAAATTAAATGAAAAAATTAAAGAAAATTAAAAAGGTAATGAAAAATAAGGTGATATTAAATTATTTGATTCTATTGATGGATCTTTTGATTTTAAATACTCTTATCAGAATTTTAATATTTTATAAGAATATTTACATTTGCTAATAATATTTAAAACTTGGAAATCATATACAATTAATATATTTGAAAAGTCAAAAAGAGGATTATAAAATTATACTGAATAATCAAGTGATGAAAGATATGAGTATATGTAATCATACAGTGTTCATACAAAGGATGGATTATAAATAATGAATGAAGAGAAACTTTATGCTTCTTAAGCTATTGATGAATAAAACAAAGAAGAAATAATGTAAAATTTTAAAGAATCAAATAAATATAGATTAACAAATTATAATTCTTAGAATAGTTCTACATTACATGGTGTTATTTATGAACCTGCAGGAACAAATCCTACTTCAATAATAAGAATGTAATCAACATCTTTAGAGGCATATAATTAAAGTGTTTAAAAATCTATTTTAAAAAAGAAATGTTAAACATTAACATTAAATGATGTCCTTATGTATTAGAACAAATAAAAGTCAAATGAGAATAAATTAACTTGATCTCAATTTTTTATATTAATTATTAAATTAGATTATATTTTTTGAAGTATTTTTGTAATTATATAAATAAATAATTTGTATTAAAAGATGGACACAGAAGAAGAATGTTTTTCTGGAGATGAAATTGATCAATTTAATTGTCCTAAACATTTACTTATTTATACAAGTAAACTAATTTTGATAATTTATTTTATTAGATTACTGTACAACTACATAATAATTACTATGTTAAGAATGTTTGATCAAATGTAGTTTAAAAGTATAAAATATCATTTCAATTGAAAAAGTATTATTATTATTTATAATTATTAGGCTTTAAATAACATAAGTTTATAAAATAAATAGTAATTGTAAAAAGTTCAAAAAATCATTAAAAACTACAATAATCTTGATGATCAAATTTAAAAAGAAAATACTTAGATTAATAAAATGTCTTAAATTTAAATTCAATCATTAAATTCAATTTGTTCTTAAATTATTGAAATTGTTTAAATGAAATTTTAAGAATTAATTGAATAAGTTGAAGTCCATAAAATGAAACATTAATAAACTTTACAAGATTCAAAAGTACACTTAATTATTATTATTATAAAAGTGTATAATTGATGAATATAAGGGAAGAGGAATCTAATTAGAAAAGAATATTCTAAATCAATAAAATACATCTGGATATGAATAATTGAAAAAATTTAGAGAATTTTATACTATAAATTGTAAAACAATCAAAGAACTTGAAAATGAATATGATAATTTATCTCAAGTTCCTAAAATTTAATATTAGTAATTGTAAATTAGAAATGCTACTGATATTGTTAGATAAATCTCTAATATATTATCTATTTTAGAAAGAGATTCAGATTATAGAATCAAACGTGTATCATCTAAATTATTTTAATAACCAAATACAACTAGAGCAAGTCCATTTTCTAAAAAAGGGTTTACTTAACATAGTTCACCTCATTTTAGTTTATAATCATCAAAATAATAAATGAGAAAAACAGAAATCAAATAAATAACTTTAGATATACCAACTGATTTAAGTTCAATTTTAGATAAAGCATCTCCTGAATAATCAATTATTAATGATTTCTTTAGTAATAAATAATCTTTAAGTGAACATTCAATTTCATAAATGGAAATACCTATTTAAAATCAAACATAATTTTATATTATAGGAGGATTATTAAAGGGTCAAAGATAAAATCTTATAGAACTTGTTGATATATAATCAAAATAATCTAGTTAACATGATTTTTTGGTATCAAATCGTTATGGATTTTAAATTGCATATCATGGAAATCAAATTCTATTAATTGGAGGTAAATAAGAAGGTATTAGAACTGCTTTATGTGAATCATATGATCCCAATCTAAAATAATCTAAAATCTCTTAATTAATACTTACTAAAGGAGTTAGTGGATTAGCATCTAAATAAATAGGAAATAAATTATATATTTCAGGAGGTAAAACAGATTAAGGAATCTAAGATATTTTTTAACTTATAAATTTAGATACTTATTAAACTAAAAATTTATAATCTATTCCAATAAAATGTTATAATCACACCTTAGTTTAAGGTAATGAACCAAACTCTATGTATTTATTTGATGAATAGGGTTGTTTCAAATATGATATGGCAATTAATTAATGGAAAAAAATCAAATCTCCTAGTTATCCTAGAAGAAGCCATATTTCTTTGACACTTCCAGATGGTATATGGATTTTTGGAGGAAGATCTGGCAAAAAATATATTAAATAAATAGAGAAATATGATGAAACCGATTAATAATTTTATTAAATGGGAGAATTAATATGTCCTACTATTAAATTTGATGCAATAGTTAGTGATGACTATTAATTTGTGTATTTAGTTGGTGGAAAGACTTAAGAAAATATTCCTAGTTCAAATATTTGGAGGTATTATATATTAATATACATTTAATTAGATATTCAATTTTGACAAATTAATGTTAACTTTACAGTTAATTTACAAAGCCTAGATATTCTCATAAATTGATACCTAAAAAAATTTGATTTTAATTAATAAGTTTTTATTTTAACTATTATAATTTAAATTCAAAAACAAGCAATGTTAAAACCAATTCTATATCCAATAAATACAGAAGTTATTGATAGAGGTCATTATTATGAAATTAAAGATAATGTTATCAATCAATAATAAGATAAAAAATAAAAACAAAAACTTATTTTAAAAGAATTACTTGAATTTATTTTGAATAAATAAATATAACCTAGTTAAAGAGAAATTATAATTAAAGCATATAGAAGAGTACTTTTAGAAGATAAAAAAGAATAATGGTTAAAATTATGTAATTATTCAGATTCTTTTCTTAATCAATTTAAAATAGACACAAAATTTATGGGTTCTGATGATGTTACTATAAATTAAACTTTCTTAAAATTGAATTAAATTGTTAAACATTTCATTCCAGAATATCTTGAATAATAATCAAAAGAATTAACTATTGATAATGAATTTATTGAAAATAATCTTAAAACAGTATTATCATAATTGATAGAAGATATTCATAATTATCAAATATATAAAAATGATGTACATCATTGTTTAGAAGCAATGAAATATTATTAATAAGAAACTTAATCAGCAACACTAAATTTGATTTAAAGTTTAAATAATTATATTAAATATGTATTATTATATGATGCAGATTGTTAATAAATGTCAATTGAAAATTCAGAGATTATGCTTAATACATTTTAATAGACCTTTCTATAATGGTATGAAAAATCAAAAACACGTTTTAATGATAAATTAAATATTTTAAAAAAATAGGCTGAATAAGCAATAGTAGAAAAAAAGAAATATGAGTTAGAATTAGAAATGCTTAATGAATATGAAATTAAATTAAAAGAAGATTAAAACTTATAAGATGTAATTAATTAAAATAAAGAACTAAGAAATTAAATATAAGAGATTAAATAATAATTAAAAAAACAATAATGATGATTTAATTTATTAAGTTAGTTTATAATATTAATCTATATAAATTAATGTTTCAAATCTAAGAATTATTTTATTTTTAGTTTAAACAAAAATAATTACTAAAATTACTTTCATATTCATGTATTGATTACTCAATCTCTTCTGGTTAATCTAAATTTTTCAAGAGTATCTAAATATTAAATGATAAATTTAGTTTAAACTATTATAAATGTTTACGTAGTAATTAACATATAGTATTAGTATTTTATAATTTAATATCAGGATTTTGAGCCTAATTAATTTATTTAGTGGCCTATATTATTGATTTTTTTATGTGTTTCTCTAAATTTTAATATTTAAATTACTATATTGTTAATTCTATAGAGATTAAAAGAACATATAAAAAAATTTAGGAAATTTCTAAACAAGAGCCATTTCATAAATTGCTCCTTTTGAGTATCGCTAGATATTAAATATATACTAATACTATCAGAAGATTTTTCATTTAATTTGAAATTAATTGCTGTATTTAGATTACTTTTTAAATTTATAAAAATATTGACTCCTATTATTATTTTAGTTCCATTAATTGAAAATAGAGTTACAAATTAGTCTAATCTAAAAGATCAATATGTTCTTGAATGGATTTTTTAGGAACTCTTTTGAAAGTAGTTTCATTTCCAAAATTGTTATCTTTATTGTAATAGAGCTTTTTGCCATCCTTACATTTCTTAACTTAAAAACCATAAATGTTTAAAGACCTAATGATGATATAATAAATACCTTCTGAAGCTATCAAAATTCTTAATGTTATAATGTTAAGGTAATATAATGTTTTCTAATGATTATTAATCCAAAATTATGAATCCATCGTTTTCAGGAGTTTATTAAATAATGGAGGAATACTCATCAGTCTTAAGTATAAATTATAAAGGATGATACTTCAAGAATAGATTTGAGTGTTTTTATGAAGCTTTTAGAGGCTTTCTTATTTCTTTTATTCATTATAAAATGCATTTAATAATTCTGAGTTCTTAATATAATATACAATGATGTTTCATTAATAAGCAACAATAAATAATTTGATTTTTAAATTAATATTTTATGAGCAAACCATCTCATAGTCCAAATGACTTAATTGAATTCGAAAATCACAATCGAAATTCTTCTTTTGGAAAGAGTATAATCATAATTTGAATATAGAATTATTGTCTACAGTTCCAAATGTACCTGCTTTTGGTTTTGGAACTTCTACTAGATATTAAGCATCATAAGTATATAGAGAAAATAGATTAATGGAAAAAGGTAAACATAGTCCAGGTCCAATCTATAATCCTATAAAAAACTTCTCTTAATAAGCTGCAAGAGCTCCAAGTGCAAGAATGGGTACATCTAATAGATAGAGCTTAAACACAAACCATTATGATTATTATAAAAGAAAAGATGTTGATGTATTTTAATTAATAATTATAGTTTGAACCTTAAAAAGCTGAGCATCTTAGAAAATGGTCTGCAGGAACAGTTAGATTTGGATAAGAATAAAGATTGTTGTAGAAAGAACTTACAAAGACTCCAGGTCCTATTTATGATTTAACTGAAAGAACTCAAGGTCCAAAATATACTATGGGTAATAGAAGAGCTCATTCTGTTTCTCTTTCAACTCCAAATAAAATTGGACCTGGATCTTATAAACCAAAAAAAGATTTCTCAACAGAATTGCCAGAACCACCAAAATATTCATTTACTAAAGCTCCAAAAATACCTCAATAAAAGAATATTGATAAAAATTAGACTTATTATGTGCAGTATAAATGTATTCTATGATTTTAGAGAGAGTGTAGGATCTCAAGTAGTATCTACAAAACCAAATAAACCAGCTTTCAGTTTTGGCAAAGGAATGAGAGAAGCTAAATTAGCTATGTACAAAAATGATTTTGTAAAGATTGGGGTTAGTTTAAAGATTCCACATCCAAAATTTTGAATTAAAATGTTTCACAATAACTTTATTAGAATTTCAGCATCTTTAAATCTTTAAAGCATATTTGAACTTTGTAAGACTATCACAATTGCATCAAAATCATCTGTTTTATAATATCCACTAAAACATGGACCAGCATTTGAAGTAATTCCAGTTTTAATACCTTCCCATCCTTCTTTTTTCAAAAGTTTATTTGTATTTTTCCATTTATAATAAGTTCCTTATTTTCCTTAGTCAGTAATAGCATAAGTTTTAAAACATCTTGTATTGACAATTTCCATAAACTCTTTGATTTTAATACATTCTTCAACTAATTTAAAAATATCTAATGCACATGAAACATTAAGAGTATCATTTAATCCATGAACAGAATTATAATTTGTTTTATCCATTTTTAAATTAACAGCATGATTATTCATCATCTATAAGAATTAAGTTCTTAATTAAAATTTATTTTTTTCTATTTCCAATTCACAATCAATATAATGTCCATTACAATATCTTTAAATATTATCACAAGTTTTTAAAAATGCAATTGCATAACTTAATACTAATGCTGCATCATTTCCTGATGGTAACATCATTGCAAATAATAACTATCTTATATTCATTATTCCTCCTGCATTTAAAAAGGCACTAGTACCATCTATGCATTCAGCATGCCCAGGAATTTTTATTCTTATAGCTTCCATATCAATTTTTTTTTCTTCTAAGAATTTCAATGTTGTATAACAAGTCATTACTTTTGTAATTGATGCAACTTCACTTTTTTATTGATCTTAAAATGCATATATTTTTTAAAACTTAGTTTCTCCCTTATTTCTTTTAAAAATAGCCCATTTCTTAGAACTAACCTTGTGTTTAATTTTAGAACTGATTGGTATTTAAATAGACATGACATCTGTTTTACTTTCTTAATGTACTATACTCTTTTAACTAATCATACTCAAAGCTGTAGAAATAGGTTTTTTTGGCTGTTATTCTTTTCTTACAAAATACTCTTAAATTAAATCATTTGATACTTGTTACTTCTCTTTATTATATTTCTGCATATTTTTTTATTCTTTCTCTCATTACTTAACCAGGTAAAATTGGAAAACTATTGATTTGTAAGGTTTGAATTTATTTTTTCTTTTTCTCTTCTTAAGCATATCGTTATAAAGCTTCTAAATAAGTTTCTATAAATGTGTATTCTGATTGGTTTTCACTTCTTTTCTAATAATTGTATAACTGTTACTCTTTATTATAAGCTTTCATTTATGTAGTTTCTTAAAGGAGTCTACAATGGTTTGTTAATATGAAGGTTAGTTGTAGCACTTTTAAGACTTCTACCTTTTAATTCAGGAAGAGCTATTTAAGAATCATCAGAAGTAGATTAAGCACTTTTACGATGGAATTTTTGTAATGATACTGATTACCCTTCCTTTGGATTCATATATAATTTATATTATATTAAATTTATAATATGTTTTTATAGATTTAAAAAAATCTTAATAAAAAATAGATTATCAATATCATGATATTACTTATGTCTAGTCTTTTTCATAATCATTTGAAAAAAAGTAAAAGTAATTATAAAATATCATAAATTCTAATTTAATTAATGTATATATAATCAATCATATTATCTTTAAAGAATATATCTAATCTAAATCTCAATTTAAGAAAGTCATGACTTATATTAAAATACCGAACTAATAATTATAACTTATAAATTGATTTTCATGTTTGAGCATACATAATTTTCTGTTGATTTGTTTAAAAAAAATGAAAAATAATATAAATTATAATTATTTTTATATTTGAGATAATAAATACTATATTAGTATTTTTTAAGGAATATAGCTTCTCATTATCGTATTAGATTAGCAAATAAGATTTTAAATCTTTCTGTAGATTTTGCCATATCTTCAATCTTTTAAAGAGTGAATATAAGTATTCAACTGAAATATACAGAATCAAAATTTAGTCTATATTTTTAACATCAGAAAAATTGTGTTAAATTTTATGTATATTTTTGAAAGTCTATCAAATCATTTATCAAACAAAGTCCTATAATATTCTACAATATTTCATTAAATGATTATTTTCCTTTAATATAAAGATGAAAAAAAGTAATCAACAATCTTAGCAACGAATTTCAAAGAAATCTTACTAAAACTTACAAATTTTGTGCATTATTTATTAATTACACTTAAAATTATATAAATATGATTTCATCTAAAAATTAGTAAATAATATTAGAATTGCTTCCATTTCTTCATAATTTAAGTTTGTTATTAAAATATATATACAAAATACTTATGTGATTTAATAAAATAGAATCCTTTATAGGTTCATCATTAATCGTCAAAGCTATCATTATACTATATATATTATAATTTATTTTTAATCTAAGTCTTCTCTAGATACTGGATTATGTATTCTTATTGTTTATAATAGAGTGTCAATTATTTAAGGTAAATTTTCATTTTTAACAAAGATATATTCTTAATATGTTAAATATCATTTATGTACTTGATTATAAATTGTAGAGGTCTTAAGAATGTTTATATTTTGAAAAAAGTTAGATTTATAATATCTAAATAAATATATATAAAAATTAGAAGAATGCTTAAATTATTTGAACCATATTACAAAGAATTGATTTTCTTACTCTCTTAATTTTTAAAATTTGAATTTACTTAACCTTAGATAATATAAATAATCCTCATAGTTTTAAATTAGGTGTAACCCATCTCATTTAACTTTTATCATATATATAACTCAGAAAAATAATTTGAACCTACACTTTAATCGCTGCTTATTATAACAAGACCATACTTATTTATTGTTAATGAACAATCAAAAACTATTGTTTTCAGTATATGTTTTGCAATACAATAAATAATAATACTAACAACGATATACATAATAATTTAATACAAAAATCATTAGTATCATGAAATATAAGTGTCTAATGTAATCCTCCGTTATATTTGTAATTATTATTATTTAGTTTCATCAACATTTTTTTGTTGGTTGATAGAAATATGTATAATGAACATTGGTGAATTGTATGGAATCATTTTGGGGATAATAATGTTTATAGAAATTGCATCAATAATAATATTTTCTGACATAGTATATTAAAGTGGATTAATATTAAGAGTTTCAACCTAATTACCATTAAATAATAATTATGTAAAATATTTCATAAAACCCTTAAGAATTTTTCAAATAATTATTTTTTTTTTCTTAACCAATTAGAAATTGGGTCTACTATTACAAAATGTTCTAATCGTCACAATATAAACTCTGCATATTTATTAAATTTTAGAATTAAAAATTTATGCAAAACTTAAATGCGTTTTAGCTTCAATTATTATTGCATCTTTTGGAATTATAATATCCATAGAATCTCTAATAATGTAAAATAGAATAAATGATAATTTATGGCTATTGTTATCTCTCATAATGATATATTTATTATAATTTATGCATAAAGGATAATGTTTATCATTATAAACTTTAGATTTGAGAAGATTAAAATTCCTATTCTCATATGTTGAAGGTCTAGATGGAAATCATAATAATAACAAATTAAAGATGACTCTTATAGTTTGTGAACATCAACAAATTTGCACAAAAATTGATTGTATTTGTAAAAAAGAGATGAATATTAAATAAAAAATACTATAACTCATTGAAATGAAGTTTGAATTACTTTTAGAGTAGAGAACTAAAAAGATAGAATAATTAACACTTGATTTATCTTAGATATTATTTAGAAGAAGACAATATGTTAAGGCATAATAAGTTATCTTTAGAGTTGCTTATTAAAAAGATAATTATTAAAACAAATATAACTCATTTAATTTATCTTTGACTACTCTTTGCCTTTTAGACTTTTTAAAATATTAAATAGAAAATGATGTTCTAATTCAAATGATGGAAAGAATGATTCTTACTAATCCTAATAATAAATTAATAGCAGATTCTTTAAAATAGTTTTCAATAAATGAAAGTAGTGATCAATACATATAGAATAAGTTAAAAAAGACTATATTAGATAAGAGCTTATTTTATTACTATTTTATTGAGCATTCTAATAAATTTCAAGGAGATGTCAATTATCCAATAAAGATTATAGGATAATTATAATAATTTCGAATAGAATTGACTGAAAGATATTAGAAATTTCCAAGTACGAATATTATGTTTTATTTAGCTTCTAGCAATCAAAATATTTTAAAGTTTTACTTATTAGAAGTTTTAAATGATTATATTGAAGCTTTTGATTTAAACAAAAATAAAGCACTTAATGATGAAAAATATTAACTTTTTCATGATTCTGTATATAATAAATTGTTTGGGTAGAATCCATCATATATAGTTGCTGAAATAAATAAAGATCTTGATGTGATAATTGTAAGACAATCTAAAAAGGCTATGAAGAAATTCTAATAAATTTATGGATCAAAATGGAAAAATTCACTTGATATTAGTGTTATTGACTTTATTCCTGAGTATGTTTAAAAATAACATAGAACACTTATAGAATAATTTTTTGATGAAGGAACTAATAAATATTATTAATAATAGAATCTTTCATTTCTTAAATTATTTGATAAAATAATGCTACCAATAGAAATGATGGTGGGTCTTAATTAGAGTAGTTCTTAGACTTTCTCATTTCTTATATTTTTTTATGAATAGATGGATTATAGATCATATTTAGTAGTAAATTAATCCTTTGATATAATTAATTGCAGTGAAAATATTAGTACTTAAATTTTAGGAAATAGTTAATATTCGACAAGTTTCATTTCAACCAAGAATCTTGGAACTATTTTTAATATTATTCCTGAATTTGATTTAATGATCTAATCAAATGTAAAGAATTTCTTTAACCATAATATACGACTATTAAGTTGTAATACAAAATAAGCAAGCCAAAGATTCTTAGACTATATTAGTAATATAATTATTGAGAAAAAGTTCACAAATGAAAATATGTGTTATATGATTACTTTAGATAACATTAGATCAAATAATAATAGAAATCATGGTGATTCTAGATTAGATACTAGTATATTTTAGAAGTAATAAACAAGTGATTTATTGATGATTCATAAATTAGATAAAATGAAAGAAGATATAGAAGAAGATATTGAAAAAGCTTTTCCTTATTAAGAAATATTTGATATATCTTTATTTAAGAAAGGAAATCCACTGAATTAAAGTGAAACATAACATGTTGATTCTAAACTCTATATTACTGATCTAATGGTTGATTAGGAACAAACTAATCCAATTCATTAAAAATATAGTAAGGCCAATTAAAAATTGTTTAGTCCTAAAGAATCTATGAATGAGGAATTTATAACAAAAAAAAATTTTACTTTTTAAAATGAAACCAGAGATTTCGTGTCTGGATCCTCTATTACTATGGTTAAAAAATCAAAATTTTATAAAAAATTTGAAATCATTTATTCACTTTGTAAGTCTTTGAAAAGTTCTTCAAAATTGATCAAAGCTAATATAAACTTTATAATGTTTATAGTTTTAATTTAAATTTATGTAATAATTGTAAGTATTTATTATTAAAATAGAATTTATCTTTGATATCTAATATTCGTGGTTTTATTTAAGATATAAAATTACTTTCTGTAAGATATGATGTAACAGGACCTTTAGAATCCTTCTCTGTATCAAGATTTACTTAAATTAATTATAGAGAAATGCTTGGTAGGAAAGTGATTAACTCTAGTTATGCAGCATAATTATAAATATTTCCAAAACATTATTTAATGGAATCATTTGATAAAATGAAAAAGAGTATGGGAGAGGTACTCTTAAGAAGTGAAATTGATCAGATTTCAAATATTACTTATTTGCCCATTATGTTATATGTTAATTTGAATAATACTGGACAGGAATATAATGTTAGTAAACGATCTGTTATAATAATAACATTAAATTATTAATATGATTTCAAATTGCATTTAGATGGAATTGGAGGAGGCTTTGACAATCCATATTATTATTTTACTTATAAAGATTATCAAATAGTAAAGTCTATGTTTGATAATTTAAATGTAATTATTTTAGATATTACACTTGAAAGATCAAATTAAGAAAAGAAAAAATGGATGTTTGGATATTTTCCATTTTTGGGTTTGAATTTTTTAATAACATTATTTATAATTTTATAATAGATTAGACATAGTAATGAAAAAAATGCTATAATGAAATATATTTCATCTATTGATTTAAATATTATAGAGTAAGAAAAATTAAGATTATCATATTTATAATAAATAGTAGTTTAAGATATGGATGTTATTAAAGCATTTATAATTGATATAGATTAAGTTGATAATTAATTAGAAAAATCAAATTATAAATAGAAATCATTTTTTTCAAAAAAATCAAATACTATACTTATTAATAATAAACCTATTTTAGGGCTTACACTTAGTATAGGACACTTTTTATTGTTTGCTGCATTTAGCATATATTTATTTTTAATTTTCAGAATATATTTTTTAAAGTATGAAAAAACAGCAGTGTTTTATTAATAATTATCAGATTTAGGAGTTGATATACCAGCTGTTTATGCTTAAAAAGAAATACTATTTCGAGTAAAGCTTAGATATCCATTTCTTAATTAAAGTGATTTGAATTAAACATATGCAGTTATTTTTAATGCATTAAATTCAATTAGTAGATATTAATAATAAAATCTTAATTTAAGTAGTACTGATTATTTATTTGATGAATATTTAATTGATTTTTTCTCAATGATAAACACTGGTAATTTATGTGAGTTTTAGAGTGATGAATTAAAATAGTAAACATAATCATTTTGTCCTTAAGTAATGTAAGGTAATTTAGTTCTTGGATTTTAATAATCATTAATTTATATATTGAATTCTGTTAGAGTTCAATAATCAGATACATAAAATTTTACAGTTTAACCTGCTTCAACATTATTAGAGTTAGAAGGATCAACAATTTTAACAAATATTATAGAGATTATGAAAGAGTAATTTTATAATAATTTAGTGGTTTAAGCATAAAATTTAATCTTAAATTAATAAGTATATTTATATTAAATTATTTTAGTTATTATGCATATTCTATTTAAGTTTTGAGATCATTTTGGCTATTTTTTATTTTACTAAGATTGATAAATATAATTATTAGCAATTCTTGTATTTAAAATAGAGTGTGTATTTGTTTCCACGACATACATTAATATTTGATGATTCATTTTATAGGAACTTTAGAAGTATTGTTAATGAAGAAAATCTATTAGATTGATATTATAGTAATGATGTTTGTTTTTTTTCTAAATTAAATGTAATAAATAATTTTTATAATAAACAAATGGATAAAGATGAGTTTAACTAGTGGAATGATAAAATTAATAAGAAAATTAATCAAAATTATATTGTAGACTTGATATCTAAAGCTAATCAAACTGTTAGAACATTAAATTTAAAATTAAGAAGGAAATAAATGAAAGACAAAATAGATAAAGATTACTTTAATGTGTTGAATGGCAATATAAATTTTGAAATTAGTGATAAAGATTATTTTAATTTGATTACAACAAAAGCTAATCAAACAATTAGACCTTTGACATTAAAGTTAAGAATGAAATAAATGAAAGATAAAATGGAGGAAGAAATTATTGTAAAATATTATTATTAAATTAGTAGATTTCAAAAATGAAACATGAAAGCAATTAATCATAATAAAATAATGATGAATTTTATAAAAATATATTCTTTTTGCATAAAAAGAGGAAAAATACATTTAACAATAAGTCTATGAACAATCATAGTGAAGCATTAAGTCCATTAACTTAAAGAAATTTCACTTAATAGTCACCTAAAAGATTAGTATCATAATTTAACAAAACAATGTTACCATCATCTCCAATAGTATAGACACATATGACAAAGGTTTAAAGATATTCTGATTACTTAAAAATCAATTAATAGATTATGAAACATAAAGGATAACTGAATGAATAGATTTTGAATCTATTGGAAGAAAAAGTGTAAATAAATAATTAATTTAGTCATATAGCAAAATCATTTAAATAATCATGCACTAAATTGGGAGTTGATTCTTATGATTAAACTTTAAAAACAATTTAAGATCTTAAATATAATATTACTTAAAAGGTTATAAAGGAATGTAATACTATTTATTAGGAAAAATAGAATCATAAATTAAATATTCTTGAAAAAACCTATACAGTAAATAAATTTAATTATTTAAAGCATTTTTTAAAGGTTTTAGATGTAATTAAATAAATGGATGATGAATTATACTAATATATGTTGAATTATAAATTCAAAAATCAATTCAATGATTAGAACACTATTCTTGAAGATATAAATTAAATGAGAGATGATGCATATAATGAAAAAGTTAGAACTTTTAGTAAATATCATGATATTGATCAGGAAAAGAAAAGGGATAGATAAAAACTTAATAAAGTTAAAGTTTATTTTTGATTTATTAATTTTAATTATAACAACTTAAATTAATGAATTTTTAAGCAACCAAAAAAAGGGGTAACAGTTAAATAGAATCTTAATAAAATTAAATTGCAGAATTATAGGCTACATCATTTGCACTATAACAAAAAGTTGAAGATTTATAAAAAGAAATAAAAGAATTACAATCTTAAAATCACAAATTAAATCATCATATTAAAATTCTTAAAGATTAAAATGATGATTTGAAGTTTGCTTAATAAAAAGAAGGTAATTATTTTCATATTAAAAATAGCAACTTTTATGATTGAAGTTGAACACTTAAGAACTGATAATTAAAGACTTATAACCTTATTAGGTAGTTAAGATAAAGATTTGAGATTTCTCAGTTCTTTAGAAACACAAAAATCAGATCTTCCTGAATGTTTATTGTGGGTTCCTTAGAAGGCTTTTGAAATAGCTCATTAATTTAGAGAAAAATATAAAGATAGCGATTATTTAGGTGATAAATAAATTTAACTGCTTCTTTTTGAATTGAATAAAGTATGGGCTGTTAGACAATTTGAATAGTAAAAATTATAGAATGTAATTATATTTAAGATAGAATTTTAGTCAATTAATAATTTAGAAAAGTAAAAGATATAGAGTAAAACTAATGTTCCTTATTCAGAATTTTAATTAAGCCAATAAGTGGAAAGATTAAAAAAATAAATAAAAGAATTAAAAAAAGAGAATCTTGATTTATATGCTAATCGTCCAGAAAGAGGAACAAGAAGTATAAGAATAGCATCAGCAAACAATACTCGAAAATGATAATATTATAAAATTAATTTATTATAATTTAACGAATAAGAAATATATAGTTATAAATTTCTAGAGATATAGTAAAAAATCAATATGATTTCTAAAATTTACAAAACAAATATCATACTTAGAATAATTGTATATGAAATAATCAAATGAAATATTGATTTTAAAGAAATCAAATGAAAATCTAAGATGCAATGTTGAAAATTATGATTTTTAAAAATGATAAAAATATCAAATTTAAATAGATTAAATATGAGAGGAAACTAAATAAAAGGCAAATATAATCACTAATTTAGAAAATCAACTAAAAAATCAATAAAATAAAATAGATATACTCTAAGTTTATACATAAATTATAATGAAGGATAGAATTGTTAACTCGGAAAATTTAAATAATGAAATAGATTAGATAGAGTAACTAAAGATAATTAATTATTTGATATTTTATTAAGAGAGAGAGAGAGAGAGATCAAAAAATAGAATCACTTAGTGAAATCATTTAATAATAAGAATATCAAAAGGATATAGAAAATGACAATACTTGGAAGACAAAATTTATATAAATTAATAAGGATTATCATAAATTACTTTAAAAATATAATTAAAAATAAGCTGAATTAGATGCATTATTTGTTAGTTATAGAAGATTAAGAGATATAAAGTGACATAAATACTTAATTTTATTTATTAAAATATCAAAATTCAAATTTTTTAATTTATTCAACAATTGTACCATTTATTTAATCTAAGACAATAAAATTATGAAAATTACTTATATTAATAATAAGATAATTTAAGTAATAAGTTATTGAAGATTTTAATTACAATTTTAAAAGCATAGAATGAATAAATAAATTATAAAAATATGCAAAATAAGAGTTATCCTTCTACTCATTATACAAAATCTTCCCTATCAAAGTATAAATTCTATGATTTAGATAATCTATTCATTAATAGGTTAAACCATAAAAGAGTTCATTCACTAGATGGCTGCAAAGATTATTCTGTATAAAAGAAATAAATGAATAATAATATATAACAAATATGATGGAAATATCAAACTATGATGAAAGTCAATAACCTACTATGAAAATAATATCAAAATTTAGTTAATATGATGAATATTTTTCAATTTAAGATCCAATTAGAATAATCTCAGGAAGTGATGTATTTTCAATATTTAAAAGTAGTCTTAATTTCCTTTTGTAGTCAAATTTAATGAAGAGAAATTATGTGAAATTGATGACTAATATCATCAATAAATTCCTGAATTAAATGGATAAGTTGTAGTATTAATCACATAGAATCCTCCTTTAGCACTTATTAATTATATTGAATCTTAAGCATCATATTTTATCATTTATTTATCTACACCGAATCCTATTATTCAAGATTATATTTAATAAAGATCTAAATAGTATTCTAAGCCAGAATTAATAATTGGAAAGGTTATAGTCTTAAATTATTCTAGTTCTCAATAAAAAAAAGTTTATCATTAGTAGATTAATATATATTTATGCCAGATTACTCCACTGATGGTAGATAACAAGTAGTTGATACTGTTTCTTAATTGTTAAAATTGATACCAAACGAAATTGATAAATTTACATTCCTAATAAAATTATAAGGTAATCCAATTTAAGATATCTTTTCAATAAGTTCTTAAATGAATTAAGCTTTTATATAGAAATATGAAAGTGAATTTTGGATTAATAAGATTCTCAGACTAACTTAGAATAGAAATGCTATAGTGTTAAAATAGAGGGATTAGAAAAAGACAGGTTTTGAAAAATCACAATATATGATGTTGAGCAATAATATCAATTAAAAAAAAGGATATAATTTAACAGTAGAAAATACAGAGTTAATAATGAATCTAACAAAATATTAATAAGGAAATGTGATTACTCATATTTTAAAATGTTTAATTTATTAGAAAGGAATTGAAAGAAGAAATAATAATACTATTGATTAAGCTAAACTATTTTGCACTTTAATATTTTTAATTAAAGAATTAAAGAGATTTAGTCAATATGATTAAGAGGATTTTATTAGTTTAATGAAAATAATATAGTAATCATCATTTTTATCTTGTTGTTTATGCATTAATTTAATGAAATAAGAAGATTTAAAAGAATTGAGCCAAATAAAAATGCATTACAAAAGATATTTAGAAATCCTGATTTGTAGTGGAATTATAACAAATGAATAAGATAGTTATATATTGTAAACAATTTTAAATAAATGTTTGAATTGTCCAATTTATGATATATCCATACCAAAAAGTGAACACTTAAATTCTGGAGAGAATTATACATAATAATTAATATAAAATGAGGATATGGGAGATAAAATCTATTCAATAGATTATGATTTTGCAAAGTCTCCAAAATCATATTAAATAATTCTTGGACTTTAATAAGATTTAAATTATAGTGAATTGTAAATTGAACCACAAAAACGATTCCCTTAATAAACAACTACATCTATTTCAAATTCTTTAAATGAATGAATGATATTTATATCAATAAATATATATATATTTTATAAGATGTGCTATAAACTCAATATATATTATAAGTATTATTGTTTAATTTTTAAATAAAAAAATAACAAAGATTTTAATTAATGAAGGGTCAAGCTGATTAAAAGAAGGAAGCAACAAAAACTGTAAAGAAAGTTAAGACAACTAATAAAAGTGCACCAGTGAGGTAGAGTTGAATACTAAATTTAGATTATGGGTTAAGGCTGCATTCACAGGTTTCAGAAGATCAAAGGTTTAATAAAATGAGAATTAAGCATTGCTCAAAATTCAACATGTTGAAGATGTTGCTTCAAGCAGATTTTACTGGGGAAAGAGAGTTGCATACATTTATAAGGCCCATACACTTTAGAACAACACAAAATTCAGAGTATGATTTAATTTAATTCAGACTATTTGGGGTCGTATTAGTAAATCACATGGAGCAAATGGAGTTGTGATTGCTCGTTTTGGCAGAAATCTTCCACCAAGAGCTATTGGATCAACCCTCAGAGTATTCCTCTATCCAAACAGAGCTTGAAAATACACACATACAATACAAAATCATACATTAATCAATTTTAATTATTTCAATATCCTTAAAGCCTAATACTCTTTTTATTTTTTATTTAAACATTCTAAAGTTTACTTAAAATATATCCTTAAAACTTTAAGTGTTTGAAATAATATTTTTAAGAATATACATTTTGTAATTATTTTTTATAGACATACTTATTTTATAAATCATTAAACACTCTCATCAAAATTTAAGCTATTTGAAGATGAGCAGAAATATACTTATATTCTTTCAATTAGAGTTACTATTATATCATGAATCAGAAATATAATGCATAAATTCTAACATAAGTTGGTATGAGGGCAATATTAAAAAGTTATATAAAATAGTTTATGTAAAGATATTTAATTGGAAATCAAGTATTGTTATTCTTTTTTAATGATAATAATGAGCATACATAATAATAGATACTAAATATTTCAATTTGAATATTATTATGTGATTTAGTAATTTATTAGAAATAAATCTGGAATGAATTGAATTTCAATGATTATATAAAGATTATAAATTGGCACTTAAATCTTACTATAGTAACATTTACTTTCATTCTAAAATTTAACTTAATTTGAAATTGAAATTAAATATAAGAAATATGATAATTATTTAGAAAATGGTTGTTTAAAATCACATATAAACAAAAGAAATTAAATAACCATGATAAGTATATATTTATTTTTCAATTCAAATAAAATTGGAATTTAAGTTTGAAACATATGATAATATTCTTATTATTGTTTATTTTTGAAAAATGAATAAAATAAATACATATCCTTAATCATTTTTATTTTCTACTGTTTATTTTTAACCTTTTATGTAATCTAGCTAATTTTCCAAGTCTTTTTGTTTTCTTCTTTTTAATTCCTTTTTTTAAATTATGTAATGGCTACTTTTATTTTTGTTCAATGTCTTATATTTCATCCTTATCTATTTCATCTACTGGTTTTTTCTTCATAGCCTTTCGTATTTCTTCTATAATTTTTTCATGTTTTTATTAATTTGATTTTTTAGCAGTAAGAAGTGTTTATATTTTCTTTCCTTATTAATTCAATTCTTTTTCTTCTACATTTTTGACATGTACTGCAGATTTAACTATAGGATTTACAACTACTTCCCCTATTTTCTTAAATAAAAATTCCTAATCAATTCTGATGAATTAGATATTTTAATTGGCTTTTTTAAATTTATTTAAGTTGCTTAATGCAAATTCATAAAATGCCTTCTCTCTTTGTATATCGTCATTATAATCTATATTTTATACATTTCCATTGATAATTATAAAGGGATCTAATTATTAACTCTATAATGATTTGATCTTATTGTTAAATTTCTATTCAATGCCAGCTAGCATTGCTCCTTAATTTTTTATCATTATTTAAAATATTATAAAACTTATTTTATAAATGAACTATAAAGAACAATTAAACTTCATTTCTTAGTCTTCTTAACTGGTTTAGGATCAGATTCATCATCTTCATCTGCTTCATCTTCATCAAATTCATCTTCTTCATCCTCATCTCCTTCTTTACCTCCTTAATCATCAGATTCATCTAGTTCGTCTTCACCACTCTAATTAATTTATAGAAATTAATATTACAGAGAGTTCAATTTCTTATCCATCTTTATCCTTATTGTCCAACACTTATAAAGATGGAATTAGCTAGAAAACTTTATTGAAATATCCAGGAAGTTGTGAAATTGGATTGTCTGCCAAATCTAACTGTTGTAATTACTTTAGTTATTTCAATGGCTCTAAATCCTATTATTTAATTGTGATATCTTACTTCAAATGTAGAAATTTTATTATCTGCAAGACTTAAACATACTAATTACTTGAAATTTTTGCTTATGTAAGATATAGCTTAACCATCTAATTGATTTGCCTCCAAAATTAGATTTTCCAAATTATTTAATTTAGGGAATCCTTCCAAGTTTTTGAGTTTGCATTCAACAAGACTCAAACTTACAAGATTCTAATGTTATTGAATTAGATTTGCTGATTGATTATCAAATTGTCCAATATCTATTCCTTCAATATCTAAATCTTCTAATTCTCCATTCTAAGCTTCTTTTTATGCAATTATTTCTTTTTTTATTGATTCAAGAGTGGTAGCCATTTATTAAAATATTTATTAATAAAGTCATTTAATTAGCTTTCAAGTTAAATATTTAGAATCTTTATAATCCCGCATTTGTGGCGTATAATATTTGTATATACTTTATTAAATATTGCCAAAACCGAAATAGCAATTCTATATTTTCTATTAAATTGAACTCCTCCATTGATAGTAACTATATAATAAATAAAGCTTCTATTTAATATTTATAATATTTTAAGATAAAATATTTGATATATTCATTGTAATTCTCATTAAATTCTCTAATTTTATTATTAATATTAACTCTATTATACTTATTTTCATGCTTAAATTCTTAAAACACAAAAATTTATATACAATAGAATAATAATTCACAAAGATTAAAAATTTGGATTAAAGTTTAAAAAATAAATTTTAAATTTAATTAAATAATTTCTTAACTTATATGAAACTTAAACAATTAATTAAATA